GATTACCTCTGCCTCCTGGGCCTTGCCTTCCTCCCGTCCGCTGGGCCTTTGGGGGTGACTTGCTGATGCAGCTTCTAAGTTTGCACCACCACAGGCTGCAGCAGCACAGTGGCCTCCAGCAGGGGGCGTTCCGGACGGGCACTGCTGCTGGGCAGACCCCCGAATGCCCCGATCCTGTTCCATCCCCCGCCAGGCTTCCCTCCTCACCGGGCCTCCAACACCCATGGCTGCTGTTAGCAGATTTTTGTCTGTGTGTGTATATGTGTGTTTTCCTCTGCCAGTCCTGGGACTTGAACTCAGGGCCTCCAGCTCTTGCTTGGCTTTTTTTTTGCCCAAAGCTGACTCTACTACTTGGGCCACAGCTCTACAGCTAGCTTTTCGCTGGTTAATTCAAGACGATAGTCTTTTCTGCCCAAGCTGACTTCAAACCAGGGATCCTCAGAGCTTAGTCTCCTGAGTCGCTAGGACGGCGGGTGTGAGCCACGAGCGGCGGCCATGGCAGATTCATTTTTAGAGCCAGGGATGTAGCCCGGAGTCTGGGCCAGAGGTCAAACTATGGGGCCGGGTGCGTGCCCCCATGTCACCAGAAGAAGCAAAGTGAGCCTCTCCTCAGGCTCTAGGCACAGGCTTCAGGCAGATTGGAGGTGGGGAAAGGGAGATTTGCAAAGTGTGATCCAGCAGATCACTGTCCTAGTTCTTGGGGTTCAGAGGGGATCGCACACAGAGTCCCCTCAGGCCGCAGCAGGGGCAGCCTCTTCCTCCTCCTCACAGGTGACTGTCCTCCCTCAGAAGTGGTCATCCTGCCAGGCCCTGCTGCCCCCTCCCCCTGAAGTGGTTTCTGTTCCTGGTTATAAAGATGTTATCTACCGGTGCTGTGCTTCCTGGAGCCCATGGGGACTGCAGAGGTGGAAAGACTCCAAGAAGGAGGCAGATCCAAAACGAAGGCAGGGAGGCCAGGCTTCCCTGGTGTTAGTTAATTTATGGGGCCAAACTAAGGAGTTGATGCTTTTAGCCAAAAACACTTTTGGGGGATTTTGTTCCTCTGAGGTTTGAACTCTGGGCCTCATACTTGCTTAGGCAGGTGCTCTACCACTTAAACTACACCCCTTCGCTTTTTATTGCTAACAATATTTCACATTCTTGAATGAGACTGGCCTCACCCTACAATCCTCCCATCTACAGCTTCCTGCATAGCTTGGATGACAGGCGTGAACTACCACGCCCAGCTTATTTGTGGAGATGAGAATGTCACAGACTTTGCCTGGATGGGCCTGGAACTGCGACCCTCCAGATCTCTATGTTTGGGAGAAGCTAGGGTTATAAGCATGAGCCACCATCCTCAGCCACAAAAGCAGTTTCTTTTTTGTTTGTTTGTTTTGGGGTTTGAGATGTGGAGCCACGGGGAGCTAAGAGCACTTCACTGTGTTGACGTTTTCAGAACAACTGTTCCAGACTGCTTTGAACTCAATGGGCCTTTAAAAAAACGTTTTTTCTTCTCTTGTTATTAGAAAGGTGATGTAGAGAGGGGTCACAGTTCACAAAAGCAGCAGTTTTGGGGAGCCTGTAAGAGGGACACGGAGGCTCGAAGTGCAGGATCTGTGCTGTGACCTGGCACTCCTGGGCTCTGAAACCCCTGTTCCTCTCTTAGCCCCAGTGCCGCTCTGTCCCCAGAACACGTGGCCTCTGCAAACTAGAAAGTCTGGCTGGGCTGTGTGTAGAGCTGGCAGTGGGCAGCACTGCCCCCTGGTGGCAGCAGGATGCCTATGTTCTTAGTCTGCAGAAGCCAATTTGGAGCGCGGGGTATGTGTGTGAGGAACAAAACAACAACAAAATCCAAGAAGCTTATTTCCAGTGCTTTTTGCAGAACACTGGGTTGGATATAGTGTTTACATTTTCCCCACTGAATCCCTTTGAGAATCCGTAAGGGAGACGTAATTGTGCTTTTTACACGAGAAAGGTAAGATCTGAGAGGAAGAGGAGGGGACTTGCAGGGATCTCTGGGCTGAGGTGGATGAAGGCCTGGGGGGTGGAAGCAGCTTAGAGCTGGGACCACCCAGGGGCAAACTCGGTCTGTGTTCATGTACTTTTGACTCTTCTCTCCTGGTGAAGATGAAGCTTAGTGGGGGGGTGGGGGGAGGGTGGCTTGCACCCTGCTCAGAACCTGACTGGTACCTGGCGCAGGCATCCGTTGCCATGGCAACCTCACAAGCTGGGATGATGGAGTCCCCTCCCTCACCGCCCCCAGGTGCATCACCCCTCACTCACCTACTGGGGAGGTAACTTCAGCCCTTGGAGCTCCTGTTAGGGAGCAGGGGCTATGGTCTGTGATGCCCGGTTCTCCAGGGGGCTTGACGCTGGCCCTGAGCGATGGGGATGTTAGAATGGATCCTGTGATCTCACAGGGTCCCTGGGAGAAAACACTCCTGTAAGCCCAGCACCTTCCTAGGTACTACTCAGGAGGCTGAGATCCCAGGATCACACTTTGAAGCCAACCGACACAGGAAAGTCCATGAGTTTCTTATTTCCAATTGGCCAGCAAAATGCTGGAACTGGAGCTGTGGCTTTAGTGGTAGGATATCAACTTTGAGTGGAGAAAGCCAAAAGGAAAGTGCCCTGGCCCTGAGTTCAAGCCCTAATACTGGCATACCAAAAGGAAACTGCCCAGCGGTTCCTTACATGTTAGCACCTGTGCTAGACCTCTGCACACTGCGCTTCTCCTCGTAGCCGGTTTCTCAGAGTATTTGAACCAACAGCCAGAATCTGCACCTTTCTGCCAGCTGTTGGGACATTTGCCAAACACCAGAGCCATTTTCACACTGTGATCTCTGCAGGTGGCTTGGGGTGTGCTTGCTTCGTTGTCTTTCAAAAGAAGTCTGGATCAGGCTGGGAGACCACGGTGGGAGGAAGGGAACCGGCCAGGGTGGTCTGTGGTGATCCCAGGAATTCAGCATGGGTGAGATAGTGACTCTGCATCGCCCCCTAGGGGTGGGTAGCCGAAGTACAGGAATGAGAAGCACCATTGTGGGTGGTTTGTTTTTGTTTTTGTTTTTTTGGGTCCGGGTCGTGGGGCCTGAACTCTGGGCCTGGGCGCTGTCCCTCAGCTCTTCAGCTCAAGGCTAGCGCTCTACCACTTGAGCCACAGCGCCACTTCTGGCTTTTTTCGTTTTGCTTATGTGGTGCTGAGGAGTCGAACCCAGGGCCTCAGGCATGCAAGGCAAGCGCTCTACCCCTGAGCCACCTTCCCAGCCCCCCCCCCTTTTTTTAAAAAGGTTGGAATTTGAACTTAGAGCCTTGGAGGTGGCTTGCCTTGCTTACAGGGCTCACACAATACCACTTGAGCTACTCCTGATTATTCTTATGGAGATGGAGTTTTCTGCCTTGTCCGACTTTACACCTCCATCCTACAGATCTTAGCCTCCTGAGTGTGAGTCACTATTGTCTGCAGGAGATTTAGGGGTTTTGTTTTGTTTTATTGTTTGTTTTGTTTTTGGTTGGTTATAGGGCCTAAACTCTGGGCTTGGGCGCTTTCCCTGAGCTCTTCAGCTCAAGGCTAGCGCTCTACCACTTGAGCCACAGCACCACTTCCGGCTTTTTTCTTTTTGCTTATGTGGTACTGGGGAATCGAACCCAGGGCCTCAAGCATGCAAGGCAAGCGCTCTACCACTGAGCCACCTTCCCAGCCCCGTGTTGTGTTTTTTTGATGCCAGTGCTGGGGCTTAAACTCAGGGCCTCACCTGTCACTTGACTCTTGCTCAAGGCTGGTGCTCTACCATTTGAACCACAGCTTCCACTCCCAGCTTTTTTTTGGCAATTAATTGGACATAGGAATCTCACAGACTTTTCTGCCTGGGCTGGCTTCGAACCCAAATCCTCAGCTCTACATAGCTAGGACTACAGGTGTGAGCCACCAGTGCCCGGCTTGTTTCTCTAGTTTTAACTTTCCCGAGCGTGTCTTGAGACCGGTTTGCTGTAAGAATAAAGGCGGACACACCAGGCCCTTTCCCAGGCTCCCTTGGCCAAATGAGCCCATGGCAGCAGACAGAAGAGTCCAAGCTCTCCAGGCCTGAGCAGAGGCCGTGGGTACCTTGACCCGATGGAAAAGCAACACCCCGGGCCAGGTACCCAGGAAGCTGCCCACACAGCCTGCAGCCGGAGCTCCCACCCCAATGGCCATGTTTGGATATTTTCTGTCTGGTAGAGACGGTGACCACATATGTGAACAATTAGCCGGTTTATTTTCTCAAGAGCATGGGGGGGGGGGGGAGGGAAGGGGGAGGAAGTTACATTGACAGCCTGGCAGCCCCAAGGCTGAACCAGGGCCGCCGTGGGAACAGGACCCCTGGCTGGTTCTAAAGTTGGCATTCCTAGGCCCTAACTAAGAAGCTCCCACACGTGACTCCCATCTCTGCACTACACTTGAGTTCTTCATGGCACCAGCAGAAAGGTCAAATGCAGCAGAAAGGCCTGGGACTTCGCTGGTGGGCCATCCCTCAGCAGGGGCTGGAGTCCGCTGCAGCCCCACCCGCCTCTCGGTGTCCGGGAATGCAGTCACACATCCTGACGCCTGCCCGCTCCCCACTCCAGGCTTGGGGGGCTCACAGGGGATTCTACTGGAAAACCTACACAGGTCGGGGGGGGGCAGCAGGCCCTCCAGGCTGTCAGTGAGCCAGGCCCAGGGCCCAAGGAGCTCCTAAAGGCTGGTTAGACCCCCGCCCCCCTCCCCCGAGTCCTAGCCCATCTCCATTTCTATCACCACAGCCTGTGAGATTTTTTTTATTTTTTTATTTATAATTATTGTTTTGGTGCCAGTCCTGGGGCTGGAACTCAAAGCCTGGGCGCCGTCCCTGAGCTTTTATGCTCAAGGCTAGTGCTCTACCACTTGAGCCATAGCTCTACTTCTGGCTTTTTCTGTAATTAACTGGAGATAAGAGTCTCGTGGGCTTCCCTGCCCAGGCTGGCTTCAGACCACGATCCTCAGATCTCAACCTCCTGAGTCGCTAGGATGACAGGCGTGAGCCACCGGTGCCCAGCTCTCTCTGAGGCTTTTTTTTTTTAAGGTTTTATTTCTTCAAGACAACAGCTTCGTGGCTTTAACACACAAAGTGAGTGGGGTCCTCGGTGGGCTCCTGTGCCATCTTCCGGTCCAGACCCTCCAGGGGTCACAGACAACCATCTCATTGCCTAGATGTCCGGGCCTCACAAGCCTCAGGAGGCTGGGCTGGTGACAAGGGCCAGGAGAGCCTGGACAGCCTGTTCTGGGCACAGGGGCTGGAACAAGCCACTTCCGGTGCATATCTCCCCCTCTTCTCTGCCGTCCTCAGGCTGGGGAGGCAGCGCTGGTCCCGGCAAGCTGGCTGTCAGTTCACCGTGGGCACCTGGCTGTGGTGCAGGCTGAATTCCTTGGCTTTGAGACGTAGGCTGGCGATGCTGCTAGCCATGCTGGCCCCCGGGGTGCCCGGGCCCGAGCCCCCAGGGCTGTAGGGCGGCACAGAGCTGGGGATGATAGAAACAGGACTATGGCTGCCTGGCTGTCTCTGATGGTCCCATATCCCCCTTGAGCCCCCAGCGGGGGACGGGATCAGAAGCAACCGGAGTGATGCTGGCTCAAAGGACCCCTCCCTCTTTCTGTGCTGGCACTGAGGCTTGAATTCAGGGCCTCTTGTTCTCCTTTTGCTATTGTGGTCAAGACTGATGCTCAACCCCTGGAGCCACAGCTCCATTTTTGGCCCTTTGGTGGCTGGCTGGAGATAAAAACGTCATCGACTTCTCTGCCTGCGGGCTGACTTCGCACTGGTCCTCAGATCCTAGGCTCTTGGGTAGCCAGGATTACAGGCGTGAGCCGCCAGCGCTGGGCATCCCCTCCCCCTTTTATTTGCTGGCTTTCCTGGCTGGACTGCGGTCCTCCTGAGAACAGAGCCTGCCGCCCTCCCGTGCTCCTAGCCTGCCTGCGGGACGCAGGTGGGATGAACACACCTGTCCAGGTAAGAGCAGGGCCGGGAGATGCTTGCAAGAATGACTGAGTTCTCACAAGCCCACCACACTGCTTCCTGCAGCGCTGGAGGGGGGCACTGCACCCCTGGGGTTGTGATTTGGGGGCTCCCCCCATCTTCTCTGCATCACCGCCTTCCTTTCTGCCTGGCCACTTGGGTGCCTTCTCAGCTAGAATGTGAGGCTCTCGCCTGGAGGGCGGATGAGGGCCCTGGGAACATCCCTGTGGGTGCTGACACCCTCCACCCCAGGCCCCGCCCAGCACTGGCTCCGCCCCTGCCCCAGACCCCGCCCATGTACCCTGGCCCCTCCCAGCACTGGCCCCGCCCCTGACCCTGGCTCCTCCCAGCACTGGCCCCGCCCCTGCCCCAGTTCCCCCAGGCCCCGCCCAGTACAGGCCCCGCCCCTGCCCCAGACCCCGCCCCTGCCCCAGACCCCGCCCCTGTAGCCCCGGCCCCTCCCAGCACTGGCCCCAGACCCGCCCCAGGCCCCGCCCCTGTCCACCCGGGTCCAGCTCCCGGAGGGCCTCGCCTCTCCATCGCGCGTGCTCCCCGCTCACCTGTAGGGGGACGACGCTGGCCAGGAGAGGTAATCGGGACTCAGGCCGGTGGGCCGGGGCGCCACGGGCTGCTCGATGGCGGCCTCCTGGCTGTAGGATTTGAGCAGCGAGGCAGAGCGGTTGGCCAGCATGGCACGTTCATTCCGGCGGAACTTGGCCCTGCGGTTCTGGAACCAGACCTAGAAGGGCAGGTGTGGTGAGCCGGGCTCAGCCAGACTGCAGGGGGGCGGGAAGAGGGGGGTCCCGGCCCTGCACTAACCCTGGGCCTAAAACCAGAGAACACTGCTTATGAAAAGTCTTTGTGCTAGACACTGGGGCATTTCACAAAAATACTTCTGGTGGAACTGGGGATCGAACTCAAGGCCTCGTGTTTGCAAGGTCAGCGCACTACCAACCTGAGCCATGCCTCCAGCCTGGTTTTTGCGTTGGTCATTTTTGAGGTAAGGTCTTGCTTTTTGCCCAGGGGAGCCTGGGTTGTGATTCTATTTGTGCTTCACCACCTAACTAGGGATAACAGGCGTGTGCTGCCTAACCAGCCATGGTTGAGATGGAGTCTTTCAAACTGTTCTGCCCCTGGCTGGTTTTGAAAAATGATTCCTGGTTCTCCAACTCTCAGGTAGCTAGGATTACAGACAGGCTTGAGCCATGTGCTCTGACCAGGACCTCACACCTGTAATCCTAACTACTCAAGAGGCTGAGGAGCAAGGTTCGAAGCCAGCCTGGGCAGGAAAGTCCATGAAACTCTTACCTCCAATGAACCAGTAAAAAGGTAGAAGTGGAAAGAATGTCTCTGTAGTGGAGAACTAACCAGCCTTAAATGAAAAAGCTAAGGGACAGCACCCAGGCCTTGCATTCAAGTCCTAGTACTGGCAAAAACCAAAACTAAAAACCTCCCTGTGAAGGACCGGGTGTTTACTGCAGGCAGGAACCTGAGCACAGAAAGGTAAAGTAACCTGCCCCAGATCACACAGCTAGTTTGTAGCCAGGCTGGGCTTCGAACTTCAGCCCTCCTGCTCTTCACAACCTGGGTGAATGGCGGCGGCCTGGCAGGGCACAGGCTCCCACAGGTGACCCTGGATGGGCGGCGCTCACCTGGACGCGGGCCTCGCTGAGGTTGACGCGCCGGGCCAGCTCCTCACGCACGAAGGCGTCGGGGTAGTGTGTGCGCTCGAACACACGCTCCAGCGCCTGCAGCTGGCTGCTGTTGAACGTCGTGCGGTTCCGCCGCTGCTTTTTCTTCCGTTTGGCCGAGCTGCCGCGGCTGGGGCTGAGACACTCACCTGCGGAGAGGCATAGGGGTTAGTGGGGCGGCTGGCGGCCCTGGTGTCTGCAGGATCACTGTTCACTGCCACTCAGCTGATTCCACCGTGGCTTTCCTGTGTCTTCTGCTGCAGACGCATTTGGAGCCAGACCTGCAACACCCCTATACTCGTCCCCTCCCTCATGGCCTGGTCCACCCATCCATCTGTCCCTCTGTCCATCCAACTATGCACTTACCCTTCCATCCATTTTTGGGGGGTGGGCCTGTACCAGGGCTTGAACTCGACACTCTACAACCAAAGCCACAGCTCCATTGTCTAACTTTTTTGATAGTTAGTATCACAGAGTTTCCTGCCTAGGCTGGCTTCAAACAGCAATCTTCTGATCTCAGCCTCCTGAGTATCCAGGCGTGAACCACGGGCACCCACGCACACATCCATCCATGCTTTGAGGCATATACACTGTATTACTGGTGCCTGGTAAATTCTCTTGAATAGTAACAATCATCACCATGCTGAGCAGTCGTGCTCACAGGTGTCCACTAGATGGCGCTGCCGCCCTCATGTGCAGAGGTGCACACAGAAGCTCAGGACACAGGGTTTGGCCCAAGGTCGAGGCTTCAGTGCAGTCCCAGGGCAGCGCCACACAGGACAGCCTTTGGCGTGCATGGTGCCCCGGTGCCAGCGCCCTGCTGGGGACAGGACAGTCATTCTGAATTCATCACCAGGCCGAGTCTGATGTTGCAGTGCTTTGGGTTCTGTGCTATGCCAGGGGCTGGCCAGGGCTCAGAGGGACACAGGGCAAGAAGGGGCCCTTTCCAGAGGAGGGTGCTTGAGCTGGGGCTGAGGGTCATAGCCAAGAGCCTGAGAGCAGTGGCCAGGGAGCCGCCGGGGCTCGGCCTGCGGCCGGTGGGGCAGAGCTCAGGTCTGGGAAGCAGAACCCCACAGAGCCCTGGCAAAGGCATGGTGCCCGCTTTTCCAGGGACATCACCTGGGCCTGCCCTGCCTCCCAGGGCACCATGGACACATGAAATGTATCCAGTGACTCATACCTGTAATCTCAGCTACAAGTAAGGCTGAGATGGTGGGGGAGGAGGGATTAAAGTTCAAGGGCAGCTAGGCAGGAAAAGCTTGTGAGACTGCCATCTTTACTGAGATCCCAGTGTGGTAGCACAAGCCTGTATCCTACCTACTATGGGGAGCCTGAAATAGGTGGATTGTGGTGCAGGCAGGTGCCTGGCTGCCAAGTGAGATCTGATCTCAAAAATATCCAGCACAGAGCCTGACTGGTGTAGCTCTGTCATCCTAGCCACTCAGGAGGCTGAGACCTGAGGATCATGGCTTGAAGCCAGCCCAGCCAGGAAAAGTCCAAGAGACTGTCATCTGCAATTAACCACAAAAAGCTAGAAGTGGAGCTGTGGCTCAAGTGGTAGAGTGCCAGCCTTGGGAAAAAGAATAGGGGTGGTACCCAGGCCTTGGGGGTATCACCAAGCCCTAGTGCCAGCGCGTGTGCACACACACACACACACACACACACACAGCACAAAAAAGGAGGCAGGAGGTATGGCTCCACAGCAAGTATGCCTGCCCAGCAAATACAAGACCCTGAGATCAAACCCCGAGTTCAGGGCTGGGAAGGTGGCTCAGTGGTAGAGCGCTTGCCTTGCATGTATGAGGCCCTGGGTTTGATTCCTCAGCAGCACATAAACAGAAAAAGTGGTGCTGAGCGCTAGCGTTGAGCTGAAGAGCAAGGGACAGCACCCAGGCCCAGAGTTCAAGCCCCAGGACTGACAAAAACAAACAAAAGAAACCCCAGGGCTGCCTAAACAAATAAATGCCCAGGGGCAAAACTGCAGATATGTCACCCTCCTCGCTGCCTCCACTCTTCATTGCCCCTCCTCTGGGAAGTCTTCCCTGATTCCCCCAATCCCCATGGAACATGCCCCCCCCCCCCCATGTACCTGCTTTTCTTACTTAAAAGGCAGAGTGATAAACCTGCATATCACAGCAAAGCACCAAGCCCCACACCCCATGGTTCACCAGATCACAAGTGCAAATCTAAAAGCCTGCCTGGCAGGATTCGTGCTGTGCACACCAGGGCCTCCGCTGGCCTGTTTTTCTTCCCTGATATTCGATTTCCTTCCACCTTGGTTCAGCAATGCATTCTCAGGAATATTTCTCCAAAAGACATCTCCCTCCCTCCCTCCTTGTTCTGATATTTGTTCTTTTCTTTTTTAACTGGTGCCTAGAAGTTGAACTCAGGACCTGATCCTCAGTGGACTTTCTTGCTCACAGTTGGTTCTCTACCACCTGAACCGTGCCTCCAGCCCAGCATTTTGCTGGTTTCTTGGAAATCGAGTCTCATGGATTTGTCTACCCAGGCCAGTTTGGAACCGTGATCCTCCAGATCTCAGGCTCCTGAGCAGCAAAGATGACTGGCATGAGCCACCAGGGCCCAGCTTAGTGCTGGCTTTTGTCCCAACAACTTCCGGAACTTCTAGACCACCTCAGGCCCGGCAATGGGTACTGCTTGATTGCTTTTGCTTATTTATTTTAAGGTGCTGAGGATGGAACTCGAGGCCCTCACCCAGCCATGGAGCTACAATCCCAGCCCAGAGTCAGGGAGGGGGTGCTATGGTTTCACAGTAGAGGTCGGGGTGCTGCTAATGATCCTCCAACACGCAGGGCAGGCCCCTATCACAGGTTATATGCTCCAGAATAACAGCAGGGAGGCGGGAGGACCGAGGCCGGCACCCCTGGTTTAGTGTGGTGAGCCTTTGGGAAATTCTTGCAAACACGGCAGAGGCGGGAGGGCTGGGCAGGGAGGGCTGGGCAGGGCTCGCGGGGCCTGCAGGGTGGACCTTCCCCCGGGGCAGTGCGAGATGGATGAGCATGAAGTGAAGATGGAGGCTGGAGGCTGGGAGATGGAGGATGGAGGATGGAGCCCCGGGTCCCTTCCCAGCACAGAAGAATCCAGTGCTGGGCACCAAAAACTGGGGGCTGTGGGGGGGAGGGGATCAAGAGCCAGAAAGCAGAGATGGAAGCTTCTAGAAGTCCAGCCACTCCAGACCTGCTCTCCTTCAGGCAGTGCTGCTTGGGCACACGCCCAATGCAGTAGGCATTTCAGCCAAAAAAGGAGAGTTTTTCGGGAAATTTCTGAGCAATTCCAAACCCTGGGGTGTTGAAAGCCATTTTGCACTCTCCTCCCCACCCCCCCCCCCCCCGTCCCCACGCAGGGGAGGAAGCCTCCCTGGCTGTGGGGTTGGCCGCTGTTCCCCCCACACCCAAGACCCTGAACTCCAACACCGAAGGGTGTTCACAGACACTCCCTGGCCAGCCCCTTCCAGAGGAAGATGCTATGTCAGCGTGTGTGTGCATGCTCACGTGCATGTGCGCACATGCCAGTCCTGGGGCTTGAACTCAGGGCCTGGGTGCTGTCCTTGAGCTTCTTTGGCCTGCTCTGTCCAAGCAAGCCTGAGCCTCAAAGTCTCTTTTTTGTTCAATAAAGGCTCCTCCTTTCTTGGAGATTAAAAACAAAGTCCAGGGCTGGGAAGGTGGCTTAGTGGTCGAGTGATTGCCCGCATGTATGAAGCCCTGAGTTCCATTCCTTAGTACCACATACACAGAAAAAGCCAGAAGTGGCGCTGTGGTTCAAATAGTAGAGTGCTAACCTTGAGCCAGAGAAGCTCAGGGACAGTGCCCAGGCCCTGAATTTGAGCCCCAGGACTGGCAAACAACAACAACAAACAAAAAACAACCACCAAAGTCCAATGCTGGGCATTGGTGGCTCACGCCTGTAATGCTAGCTACTCAGGAGGCTGAGATAAGAGGATCATAGTTGGAGGCCAGCCCAGGCAGGAAAGTCTGTGAGATTCTTATCTCTAATTAATCAGTAAAAAGCCGGAAGTGGCTGAAGTGGTAGGGTGCCAGCCTTGAGTAAAAAAACCCACGTGACAGTATGAGGTCCTGAGTTCAAGCCCCACCACCACTACCAACAAACAAGAGTCTGAAACCTCTTCTATTTGAACCAGACATTGAGACCCCAGGAGACCTGGCGAGGAAGGGAATGCATTCAGAGGGAAGACGCTTGCTGCAGGCACTCTCTCCCGTACACCCCCATGACACCAGCCCCAATTTCATCCTCCTGTCAAAACGGCCAGTGTGTAATTTTCTGCCATGAAATTATTTCACACTCACCATTTATTTGGCCAACTGCAAGCTAAAGACATTTAAAAGCTCTACTCCAGGACAAATGATCGAGTCCCCCTCACACCCCCCCACCCCTGGTTTCTCTTATTTCGAGTAATTAAGGGTCTAAATAGTCTGGAGGGAATTAACTGTAAATTCTTCTGAAGACAAATAAACTCAGCCTCTTCCAGCCCGTCTTTCTCAAGCTGTGGAGAAACGCTGTTTGTTTTTGCTTCAAATAGAGTCAGTTTGCTCCTGACCCCAGGGGCCAGGGCCAGATCCAACCCAAATAAATAGCTTTTATTAATTAGCATTAATTCTAACCAAATAAGCAGTCTCTCCCTCCCCCCCCCCCAGGTGCAGTTGATCGAGGCCAACCCCTGCTCCCTGGGACCCGGCTGAGGATTTCACAAATTAACACTGGGCTTTGTCAGAGGCTGCAGGAGTATTTATGGCTGGGGACACGGCTGGAAGGCAGGACTGGGCAGGCGCAGGCAGTGCGGCCTGGTCCTGGGCATGCAGGATTGGCCTCTTGAGTCAGTCACTAGCAGTGGCATGGCGCACGCATGCGCACACAGGGTTCTGGGTCACCTCCCCCAGAAAGTCCTCCCCCCCCTCAAACTCCCAGAGTCCTGTGCGCTCCAGGTTAGAGCTCTGACCCATAGCAGGGCAAGCGTGGCCAGGCCCTGCAGTGGCTAGAACGGCTTTTCTGTCTCCTTGGCACAGGTAAACCAAACCATTGAATGAATGAATGAATGAGGACTCGGGTGTCTGCCCTGCTGTCCAGAGCAAGTTCCTCCTTGCGATGGGTGGGGTGGGGAGGGGGCTGGCCA